GGGCTGGGGATTCGAACCGGCCAGCTTAGGTGTATGTGGCTGGCGCCTTAGCCGCTTGAGCCATAGGCGCCGAGCCATATGAGCATTTTAAAATACCTAGTTAGTGCAGATTTTCACTTCAGCAGGTAGGCCCTAAGTAACCTCCTGGTCATCAAATCCAGAGACCCTTCCAGTTCTAGACAACATAAGGTTGTAATGCAGAGGACTCCCTGCCAGGGTTAGTTAGAATCCTGGCTCCTGGCTCCACCTCTTTCCATTAATGAGACGCTGGGATAGGAGCCTCATAGTGTTGGGACTAAAATAAATAAAGCATAATAGAACTAGAGCTCTTGTAGAATCTGTACAGGGTAACTTTTGTCCATGATCTGTTATTTTTTACCTTCCAGGGGCTGAGGTCATTGAAAAGAGTGTTGGTTTCTTTAGCATTTCTGACTTTCAATTCCAAACTTTCCTTCCCTTCAGGTTAAGAATAGACCCACCAGCATTACCTGGGATGGTCTTGATCCGAGTAAACTCTACACCTTGGTCCTAACAGACCCGGATGCGCCCAGCAGGAAGGATCCCAAATACAGGTGAATTGGGGAAAGGTGAAGGAGAGCACATACTGCCAACATAACTTGGTTGGTGTAAGTCTTTTGCTGAACATGGGGAAATAGACATGGTTTGGGATATCCATGCTGTGCTTCAGCCAGAATGTGCATTTCCTGCCCTTTTACTCCCTAGAGCAGGAGCCTGTAAACTACAACTGAGAGCTAGATCTACCTGTGGCCTGTTTTTGTACAGCCCCACGAGCTAAGAATGGTTATTACATTTTTAAATGATTGTGGTAAAATTAAAAGTAGAATACTTTGTGACATGGGAAAATTATACGAAATTTAAATGTCAGTGTCCATAAATAAAGTTATATTGGAACACAGCCATGAAAGCTTATTTATGTCTCTTCTGTGGCTGCGTTCAAGCTGCCTTAGGAGAGTCAAACAGTTACAACAGAGACGCTGTGGACTACAAAGCCTAAAACATTGGCACTCTGGCAGGAAAAGTTTGCTGACTCCTGCCCTAGAAAATGTCAGAGAGAGGGAGGGAGGGGCCACGTCCTCTCTTTTGCAGACATGAGGCCTGCTCTGGCCAAGAAAGCAGGGCCTGTCTTGTTCATTGCTGGTCATTTGGCACTGAGTGCATGCCTGATGTACGTTTGCTAGCCCTGCAGTGAATACACACTAATCTCTCATAGTGCTGACAGTTCTGTTTCTCCACACAGGGAATGGCACCATTTTCTGGTGGTCAACATGAAGGGCAATGACATCAGCAGTGGCACAGTCCTCTCTGATTATGTGGGCTCAGGGCCTCCCAAGGGCACAGGTTAGTAAAGGCTACATTTGGTGGGAGGCAGGAGGAAGTCTGGGTGGTAATTAGGATTGGTTCTAAAACGTTTTTATCTGGGAGAGTTCTTTTCTTACTGGAGATAGAAAG